GTTATAAGCATTTTAGAGGGACAAGTAGTATGGTGCGATTGTTAGCTGTGTATTATTGGGCCTCATTACATCCTTTGCTTCCTGGTTGGATGACTGAAACTCCTTAAACAGGACAATAATTAATAACAAGTAGCAAGTGCACACAAATACTCTTGTCCACATGCAAATGCTGGTGCTTGTTCTAGGAACAGCCATTCCCCAAACACTCATGCAAGGAAAACCTTGTTTGCGCTAATGTTCATGAACAGTGGGATGGCAAGAGATACTAATGTGACCGAACCAAACAGCTACTCGTTCAGAATTCAAGAGAACCCTCCTGGGCCCTGTTTTACAGCATTCAACCAGCCCTACTGGTTAGCCTCCAGAAAACTGCAGAATGATTTTCTACAGCTCAGAAACCTCTCCCTCAGCAGTGAGGAGTGGCATGCGGTGGGCTCCAAGATCGTTCTGGGACTGATCAGTAATAAACAGCTCACTAATCTTTGTGGGATTCTAGCAGTACAAGAATTCTGTGTGCATGGCAATATTTCCCTTTCAGTCACTTTCTGATGGGACTTAAAACAATATTTGAAATATGATACATTGCACCCCAATGTTAAAGAAAGTGAATTCCTTTGCCTCTTTTCTCACAGACTGGATCCCACTTTCATAATCTGGTATCATTTATCTTTTATTTGAAACTGATAATGAATTTTCTGAAATACCTCATTGAAGGTACGTTATGGAGTGTTTTCCCACAAGAACGCCCTGAAACTTTAAACCATCTTTCTCTCTGGTTCAATTTGTTCTAGTTATTGACAATCACAAATTCAGGGTCCTGCTTTGTGTGTCAGCTGCTCTGGATATTTATTTTTTCTCAAGACCATTTTTCTTTTTTACAAAAAAATGTGGCAGTGATACATAGATTAATGTGTTCTGTCTTATGTTGATAAGACAGTTGTTAACAGAAATCGACTCAAGCTGCAAAATTCAGACCCTGCTCCAGATTTTGTACACTTCAAAGGTCTGGGAGTGTTCAGATCTCAGGTTTGGAATGAGGTTTGAACTCTGTGGGTTTTGATCCAACACCATTTCTAGTTTCAAAACTATAAAATAGCCCAGTTTGACTTACAGATGATCCCAGGTTCATTCAAAATAAGTCCTAAGGTTTCACTGAAAGTTTTTTGATTAATCCTGGGCTCAGTTCGAAGTGAAACATTTCACACAGCTCTGCTGCAAAGAAACTTGATTCCCCTGCCACTCCCCAAACTCCATGATTCGTGTAAGCAAGGGGAGGGATAACTAGATAATTGTAGAAGTTAGAGACGGAAAAGATCTACAGGACTATTCACTCCATCCACCTGTCAGCCAGTGCCGTATTGTTCTCTACAATATATAATGAAATCCAATATTCAGCACCGTAGAACTTCCCATTTTACATGATCAAAACTTGTTCTGACTCACAAGACATTGAGGGACCCCTCTTTTTCCACGTGAGCCAGAAATGTCCCTCCCCCCTTTTTATATGGAAAACTAATGATCCAATTTTTAAAAAAAATTCCTCCTGAATTTTGCATTTAACAGAGTTTTATGAAAATTAGATTGTTTAAAAGCACCGTACATCATGGGATGGTTTTATTTCCCTTTCCCCCCTTTTCTTTCTGCTTTGCCTTGTTAATTTCGCTAGACTCTCTAAGTTAGCAGCACAATTAGCAAATATGTCTTGGGTTAAGGGTTTGGGAATGAGCTCATGTAATGCAATCTAAAATAACAAGAGGGAACACAGAATGCAGGCCTTACTTGTCAAGGGAGCTGCAGCGTGCCTGTCTCCTCCATGCACCTTTAAACGTAGCCAGCAAATCTGAAAAACTATCTGCCAAAAAAACTTCGGGCTGGAGTTCTCTCAGTTTGTAGCTGGAAAGGGGGTGTGATGTGCTCGGTCATCAGGATGGACTGTGTGAGACGGAGGGGTGTGAGGTAAAGGAGAGGATGCCCTGGCTGCAGTGTGATTATAACACCTCCTGTCTGTTGATCCATGGAGCGCTGCCGGCAGCACTGCTGAAGGGAAACATTTTTCTTGTTCTAGTGGCCAGAAAAGAGGCCAAAAAGTGAGTGAGAGTGGGTAGGTGTGGAGGAGATGGGAAACAGGCGGAGGGACTTCACTGAAATTCCTTTTAATTACCGTCACTTTTAAGTTCCTTCAAAAAGTCAGGCGTGAAGGAAAGGAAAGAAAAATCTCCTGAAAGTTAAACTATAGAAGGAATAAAATATTAAGATGCCTTTGGGACCTTACTTATCAAATAAATCCTGTTTGGGATATTTCCAAATGAATGTTAACCGCCTTTGTGTAGTCAATGTAAACTATATATCTCTCTCCTGTACATAACAGCAACTGGTTTTTGCTTCTTTCTCCTCATCTCTGTCACTAGGCACTATCTCTCAATTATATGCCAGGCTGGAATGGGGCCACCGTATTTCGAAGATATTAAAAGTGTTCTCTTTGAAAGGAAAACTGACAAAAAAAGGGGTCTGGATTAGCTATGCAACCCCCGAGGGGCACAGCAATGATGTGGAAATGCACTGTGGGGATTTTATACCTATTTCCTTTGCTAATTTAATATAGACCCCATGCTACATGGCACTTTGCATATCCTAGTTCTGAGACACAGGGCTTCTTCTGCAGAAGCAGCCACTAACAACTGTGAAAATTATTTTATATATACACAGTCAGCTGATAATAGTACTTAGCACATGCTACACCAACAAGTCAACACTGCAGCCCATCTCTGTCCTCCTCCCACTTGCTTCCGAGTCAACACCGACCTTGCCCTGACTGTGAACAAAGGGTATCGCTTTACTGGGCTCCCTTCAAAAGTCATCACCTCCTTCCTGTCTTACCACCTTGGCCCTTTGCATCCTCAACCAATGTCATTTCCAGTGGATCCTCTTCTACCACACTCACAATCCCTGCTGTTACTGGACTCATGACAATAGCCCTTGCTTGATCCCTTCCTCACTTGCTAATTACTACTCCATCTTCAACCTGAGGAGTATATAAAACCTAGCACCCCAGCTTGGAAAAGGTAGGTGCGGTCTGCCATGCAGCATCGCTTGGTTAAAGTACCCTCTGTGGAACTCTGTGAGCTCACTAGAGCATGGACTTCCAGTCCTGGCTATAACTTTCTTTTCCAGTTGGCAATATGAAAAGCTAGTTACCATAAAGTACCAGAAAATCAGACAGGTCTTTTCTAAGATGTACATCACCTAAGCATCTTGTGGTCTGCTCCAGCAGGCCAATGCAGAATTGTTCTGTGCACTAACTGGGTGATAGGGAATTACCATGGTTCTGGAGAGAGGAGCCATTACACAAAGAATGTCTCCCAATGCCCAGATGTGTATTTCCCCCATAGTCTCTTCCCTTCTGCAATATGATGCCCATGTACTAGAAAAAGCTACCCAGACAGGATATATGTATATAGTTTATTTAGTGTCTGCTACAGTAGCATTTCTTTCTACTGAATCCCTCTGGACTGTCTACACAATACACAGTGGTGTGCCCACTACCATCAACAATGGTGTTCCTTGAGTAAACAGACTGTGGCCCTGGCCAAAAAAGACACACATCTTATGTTCAGGTGCCTTGTGAGTGGGAATGTGGCAGTTGTGTAAGCGTGCATACAATACTACACAACAGGCCAGGACAGGGAGTGAAGAGGATTACGGTATTTAACGAGGACTGAGATCGGCAGAATGTAATTATCCAGACTGGAATCTAGCCAGGATAGCACTCTTAATTAAAGGGATCTTGAATGGCTACAAGTGGTCAGGACTTCAGATTGGGCAGTTCCTCCTTATAAGTAGATCATATACAGGACTTCAGTTCTCATGTCTCATCCAAAAGACAGCACCCTCTGCAGCACATGCCTTACAATTTCCTACTGGGGTTTTGGTTCACATCTGGCTCAGCAGAAATAATATTCCTGTGGAGTTTCCCACAGCACTCTGGATACACACACAGGGTACATGATATCTGGCCAAGGTGTTGCCACTCGCTTACCAATACTCAGACTCCAGTAGCGTAGAATTTATGTGGAGTGAATTAAATGGACCGTAGTAAGGACCAAGCACTCCACTGTGCCTGATGGAAATTTGAACAGCATTGATGGGGCTAAGTCATTAGTAGTAAAGGGATCCTGAAGTGCCTCCATGAAAGCTCAAACAGCAGCTAGACCCCACTCATGCTGAGATTTTTCAGAACAAAAAAGGTGGAATCAAAAACCCAAGAGACTTGGCAATATAGCTCAACGCCTCCGTTGTTAATGTTGCTGGGGAGTGTTGGCATTAAACCCAGTCCTACCTGCCCCAAGAGAGGAGCACTTACACCACAGCAGCTCCCACGTGAGCTATAATTGTCTAGAGCAGATAAGAGGGGCGCAGTGAAGCATTACGTTGGGCTTTATCATCGTAAATTTCCCAAGAGACAAGTTCATGCCGTTACAGTCCTATGGCATCGCAATAAATAAGTCAAATGACACGGGGTGGGAGTCTACATTCCAAGAGCCCTTTGCAGAAAATAAATCCGTTGTAGCTGCCTTCAGCTTCAATAAAGAGGTGAACCCTGCAGACTACAGGTCCCAGCAGACATTACGCCATTTTCTCCCAAACAGCCCTCGGCATGGATCAAGGTTTGAGATGGGTCAGAACCGAAACCCTGGATCTGACCAGCCATGAACTTGGAGGCAGTTTGGAGCTGGATCCAAACTCTGCCTGTCTAACATGCAATTAGAACGCTACGTGCTGGGATCTATAGTCCCCATTGGCTGTTCCAGTATATTAAAGATTTGGGCAGCTGTGGACCATATTGTCAGTTTCCATGGGTGGGATTAGCCCAGTGAATGGCACTTTGACCATCCCTGATAATACATGCCACCTGCACAGAGATGTTTAAACTCACATCACTGCTTCTATGCACCAGCTGAAAACAGAAGAGCATAATTCAAATCTGACTTGTGAGTCTTTACCTGTCTTGTGTCCCGTGTGACCCCACTTTTTCATTCTTCATGCAGAAGTCAGGCGAGCTCTGCAGGTAAATCAGCTCTGTCTCTTTAACTGGCCTGATGTCAATATCCTTTGGTACTAATTGCTTGCGTGTGCCCATGGGTCGGTGTACCACCTTTGTGGCTGACAAGTACTTGTTTTTGAGGTCCTGTGCAATGTCTCTCAGTTCTTGAAGACCCTTCCAGCAGGTCTTGATAGAACAGGAACCAGAAACTCCATGACACTTACATTTCATTTCAAGAGAGGCTTTCAGGGCCTATGGAAAAAACAACAACAACGAGTTATGAAGTGACCTTCTCTTTACTTAAATCTGCCACAGAATTGCTAAAGGAGTTAATGTCTTAACTGGATTGCATAAACGAGTATTCACTGCTCTGGTTTCTGCACAACCAGGTTAAAGTACCGACTGTGCAGAGTGAAACGCAGCTCACCGCTTAAAGATTGCTGTCAGCCTGGGTATTATTTTTACTGTGGCACCTGTTAAGGCAGCACACAGAGCAGTCCCATAGTTTTCTATCACATTCCCACAGTGCTGGACACATCCTTTAAACTCCTGAGGAGCTGGAAGTTGAAGTAATTTGCAAATAAATAATCAATATGAAATTTGTGCCTTCAGCATATTTATACGTTTGATAATGTAGATTTCAAAGCTTAGATTTATCGAACTCCATGTGCAATGACCATATCTCCACATTAGCTGTAGTACAGAACTGCTGTATTATGCATTGTATCGTTTCCTTTGGTTTTGCAGTTTGCATAATTCCCAGAATGCAATAGGAAAGATTCTTTGGGGGTGAGAATCAACAGAGCCGTGTCCCTTTACACCAGACAAGAATTTGCCTTAGGGGCTTAACCTTTAGAATTGAGATATTAAGGAGCTAATAGAAAGAGAGATGTGGTGCAGTGCTGTGAACTCCGGATACAGTGACTCCCTGTGCGGCCATGGACAAGTCTCTCAGGAGCAAATTTTATGACTGGCACTAGGGGAGTAGCTGGGCCAGCCATTTGGGAAACATGCAGGGGAGGGAGAGAAGACTTTTCTCCCCCAGCCACAGTGGATATGTCTACACTGCACACTCAGCTGGGGCTCTGACTCAGGTTTGAGCCCAAGCCTCATTCCTGTCCACACACAAATCAGTCTTGGGTCAGCAAGCACTCGAGATCCGGGTTCTAGAACCCTGGCAGGGGAGTGGGTCTAAGCCTGAGTGCCACTGTGATTCGGGTCCACAGACTCGAGTCAGAAGGTCTGCCTAGTGCAATGTGGATGCATTAGTATGGCTGGGAAACGCAGGGCAGCAATGGTAAGCCCAGGTTTACAATTCAGTATGGACAGTCAAGTGTGGGCTCGGAAATGAGTCGAAGGGTGCAGGTCCCCTGGACCCAGGTTTACTATACAGTGTAGACATACCCTGAATAGTTATGGAGGTGAGCCATGCAGACTGTCCCAGCGGAGTGGCTGGAGCAGCTTCCAGAGCCCCCCATAGGGGAGCGGGAGGACAAGAGAATCTGAGCAATGGCAGATCTACCAGCTTTGCCCCTGCCTATTCCCCACCCATTAAGCCCTGAGGCACAGGGAGCCCTGGAGGAGCTGAGCTCCACCCCATGAAAAGTGGTGTGCAGCCTCTAAACAGCCAGGCCTCCAGCCTCCTCTCGAGCAGTGAAATCCACTGGAAGGGAACTTCTGCAGCCACAGGGACAGGAGCCGGGTTTCCCCTCGACTCTCTCTGAAACCATTTCTCCATTTGCGGAGGGCTGTTGAGGGGATTCGTTTGTGAACGTCTGCAAAGCGCCACATTCGTGGCATTCATTAATTTGCAAGTTAATTTTATTGGAGAAAACGAATCCCTGGGCTCACTCAGGCCTGGTCTACAGTAGGAAATTAGGTTGGTATAACTCCGCTGCTCGGGGTGTGAAAAATCCCCTAGGCGATGCAGCTAAGCCAACCTCAGTCCTGTATAGACAGCACCAGGTGGACGGGAGAAAGCTCCTGGCTCTCGGGGGGGGTGGGGTACCTATTTGGTGGTGTCTTCACTGAAGCGCTACATTGGCACGACTGCCGCGTAAGTGTAGACAAGCCCTTAGACGTTGTACTCATCACTGACACAACAGTTGAAAAGCATCCGCCCTACTGACCTTACTGACTCAGCGTAGAGCTAGTAACCCGTACCATTTACATGGCACTTTACGTGGGTAAGGTACTTCACATATATTAACCAGTTAGTTCACACCACACATCCTGGGGAAACATCATCCTCACGTTACGGATGACGAAACTGAGGAAGGGAAGGGAAGTGGCCTCGGCAAGGTCACACAGTGAGTCAGTGGCAGAGCCAGGATTAGATCCCAGGACCTCCTGACACCCAGTCCTGTGCTCATGCTTCCCAACCCATCTGTCATCCAAATAAAGAAACTGAGGCAGAAAGGTTTGGTGATGCACCAGGCTCACAAAGGGAGAGGAAGGATGGTCCAGTCATTAGGACACTACTCTGGGACTTGGGAGAGCTGGAATGAAGACCCTGCTCTGCCACAGACTTCCTGTGTGACCTTGGGCAAGTCACTTAGTCTCTCTGTGCCTCAGTTCCCCAGCTGGACAATGGGGAGAACAGCACTAGCCTACCTCCCTGGGTGTTTTGAGGATAAATTCATTAAAGATTGTGAGGTGTTCTGACACTATGGTAACAGGGGCCACATAAGTGCCTTACACAGACAGCCCAGGACAGAGCTGAGCCTTCAGGAGTTTCCGGTGCCCAGCCAAGGATACATGACCACGCCTTTCTCTCTGCTGCTCATGCCCATGAGTACTTAGAGGAATTACATTTCTAGAGACTGAATTATATTGTCAACGCTTATGCAGGCCAAAGGAGTTCAGCGCGCTCTGGGGAAAGGCCGGCGTCTGTAGCTAGCGGGTAGATACGCTGAACTTTCACAAAGCCATCACCCACTACCGAGGGTTGTACAATGACAGTCGCTCTCTTTGGTTTGTTACCTGTCTCCCTACTTCACTGTTGTGCAGGTGCATCAGCTTATGGGCTTGTGATCCTGATTTTTTCATCTTCATGGGAGCATCTGAAAATTTGGACCCCATGACAAGACCATAGTTGAGGTTGTCAGCACATCCTCCCCATCGATACCCAGGTCCAGGTGTCTCACCTGGGATGGGGCCGCAGGAGCAGCCAGGGAGGTCCCCGGTGGTGCAGGCCCTGGCGATGGTGTGGCTGATTGCTGCAGCAGAGAGGGCATACACAAATGCTGACTCCCTTGTGCCTGCAAGACAGGAGAACTGCAACTCAGCCACCAGTGCCAAGGCACTGGATGCCTTCTGAAGAGAGGACTGCACCGCCCCTGCCTCAGAGAAGACACGTCTCAAACAGGCAGAGCAGAGAAGCGCGGCTGGAATCTTTTCTGCCATGCAACCCAAACTTGGTGCTATGCAGGAGGACCTTGGACCTTCCCTTTTATGAGCAACTGACCCAAGCAGCACAAGAGGAGGTAGCTGGGGAGGCTGGGATGAGGGTACGTGTCACAGGGGGTGTGGGAGGGATATGGGTGAGGCCAGCACAAGGTTTGGTCGGGCCCTATGTGAGGGTGTTACTCCAGTGATGGGCGCAGGATAAGCATGAATGCAGAATAGAATCATAGACTATCAGGGTTGGAAGGGACCTCAGGAGGTCATCTAGTCCAACCCCCTGCTCAAAGCAGGACCAATCCCCAACTAAATCAACCTAGCCGGGGCTTTGTCAAGCCGGGCCTTAAAAACCTCTAAGGAAGGAGTTTCCACCACCTCCCTAGGTACCCCATTCCAGTGCTTCACTACCCTCCTAGTGAAATAGTTTTTCCTAATATCCAACCTAGACCTCCCCCACTGCAACTTGAGACCATTACTCCTTGTTCTGCCCTTCCCTGCTTACGACGAGGGTCCCAGCCCCTACCCCACTGCATAGCACAGTAAAACTTGCCTCCTCCCACACACCTCTGACTCACGTCTCCCTGAGCCCTGCAAAGTCAGCTCCGATGGTTACCTCGCTCCAAATCCAGCAGGTAGTTGGGGGCCAGCTCAATGGAGGAGCAGTTCCACCGCATGTCGGAGAAAGTTCTGCGGCACGTCTTTATCACTTCCCGGGCCGCCTGGATGATGGTTTGCATGAGCTCCAGGTTGCTGCGGCACAGCTGCACTTGAGACACTACCAGACCTTCTAGCTGCTTGCAGTGCTGGGTCTGATTCAGAGCAAGGACGGAGGGAGTCTTGGACAAAGCTCTGGGAACAAAAACGTCACCAAAGCCATTAGAAAGTTAATCTTCCAATTGGCATTAGTTTCTCCTCTGTCAGACTGCCCAAGAACCACCTGCAAATACTTTGCCTTTGAAACACCATCACCCACCCCCCGTTCTAACTAAGGAAAACATTTCAATCCATTCAAAGGCTCTCAGAATGCCATGTGGATTGAACAACATAGACAGATGCTTTGGGAATTCTTTTGGGCAAGCCTAACCTGCAGCTGGGAGTGAGCTTTCCAGCTGGCGCAGACAGACTTGTGTAGAGGGGCTCACACTAACCAGCCAAACTCAAGCCAACCCTACCCCCGGATCTGAGCTCAGGTGGCTAGCCTGAGCCTCTACTGCAGTGTCCACACAGCTATTTTCCGTGTGCTAATGCAAGGATCTTCCAAACACTTGGAAAATGACCCATCAGCTCCGTAACGTATAGCTAGATCTTCCTATGGCATAAGAAAGCAAGCTACATAGGCACCATCAGTGGTCTGCATTCAGAATCCATCTCACACACCAGCAAAGGATTATGCTAAATGTCCAAGTATGCAATTACGGGGGGGGGGGGGGGGAATCCGCTGCTTAGCCTAGAAAAAAAATGATTGAGTTTCCAAAACAGATGCTTCACCACTGAATTAAAGCAAACCACTCCACCAGAGTAATTACCATTACTCTTAGATAAGTGAGTGTCAATATCTTCAAAAATCCAGTGCAGAAGTAAAATGACAGTGCTGGAAAGGCAGCATCCTGGAGAAAGCTGAGAGCTAGTCCAAAAACACCAGTGCAAACATTACCATGAAGCATCATAGAAGGCAACAATACACCATAGACCACTGGCCCAACTACTCTGGTAGCCTTCCTCCAGCAGTTGCCAATATTTGATCCATCAAGTGAAAGGAAAACAAGGGAACTGATTATGCTATGCAGCATCTTTGGGCATGTGATTCTTCCCTAGCCACCCGCAGGTGGTCAGCTGAAGAACAGAACATGGCTTTCTCTGTATCTTTATGATCTACCTAGTGCAGCTGTAAATGTTCTTCCTGATCATGAAACTAGTTTGTAACTCACTGCGTCATGAACAATCCTGCACAGGCTGGCGATATGCTGACATAAAACATATTTCCTTGTATCCGTATTTAGTGTGCTGCCTTTCAGTTTCTACACCATCCTGTCCTCCTGGGTGAATTCTGTTTATTAATGGGCACATTTATTTTATTTACTGCTACAGCAGGTAAGTGATCGACAACTTAAACAAAAAACCCAAAACAGATTTAGAGAGGGGCCCAAACCACAACACTTGCTCTTTTCTCCCCCCCTCACACCCATCTTTGGGGAATTCATATCCGCATCTGAATCTCACGGAACTGGCCCTTACCGCAACTATGAGCTGAATTGAATCCACAAACCCAAACAAGGTCTTAAATTCCCTGTTTGTCACAAACTTCCTTTGTGCCCGGGGACTGGGAATTTAGTTTTCCAGTGCTCCAGTTCCCTAGTTGTGGATAATAGCAGTGCCCCACCTCACAGGGATGTTGTGAAGATAAATACATTAAAGACTGTGAGGAGCTCAGATACTATGGTACCTATGGTTGATAGTTAGCATTCTGCATCACTTGAAACTTCTGCCTGCTTTTCAAAGGTAAGCCCCAAGCAGAGTGCTTTGCAGAGATCCCTGGTCAGTTTTCACCATGTTCTTCATTATCAGGTTTCTTCTATAACGTCCCTACATGCAGCTCCAGAAAATAATCTCATTGTTCCTCATGAGCTGGCAGGAGGAAGAGGAATTTTCTGTCTCCTGTGCATCATACTGAGTGATATGGAACTAGGTAACTATGGGTTGACACAACCTATATGGCCTGGCAGCTGGGAAGATAATGCTATATGAACTACTTATAACTTATAAGGAGGAACTGCCCTGTCTGAAGACTGGCACAGGTAGATCCAGAGTTAAAGTCAATTGGAGCTGCAGGTGCTTAGTAACTTGGGACCAGATCCACCAGCAAAAGATCTGCCTCTTGGCCTCTAAAGTTTGGCATCCAAGACCCTTGAAAATTTGACCCACAATGTCCATCAGCAACTCTCAGGAACTGACTCAAAAGCTAGTTAGGCGAGAGGCCAAAACTAGTGTGAGATTCAGACCACACCTAAACATAAATACAGCAAAGGGGATGGCTGCTTGGGAAGCAGTATATTCCAAGCAGCAAAACAAGTAAACATATTGGGTACATCTACCCTGCGGAAAAACTCCCTGGCAGCGAGTCTCAGAGCCCAGGTCAACAGACTTGGGCTCACGGGGCTGGTGGTTCGGGGCTAAAAATAGCAGTGTAGACATTCCTGCTCAGGCTGAAGATCCTCCCAAGATCCTCCCACTCACTCCAGCCCAAGTGGGAATGTCCCCACCACTGTTTCTAGCCCCATAGCACGAGCCCAACAAGCCTGAGTCAGTGGACTCGGGCTCTCAGACTCGTTGCCTTGTGTGGGGTTTTTTGTTTGTTTGTTTGGGGGTTTTTGGGATGGGGCAGGGGGAGGTTGTTTGGGGTTTTTTTTGCAATGTAGATGTACCCAATAAGTCTGATCAAGTAAAGGAGTTCTGCAAGCCTGGGCTTGAGGAAAACAGGGACTGTCCCAACTGCCCGAGAGAGAGACTGGGCATGGAAGGTTGGGTTCATTGAGAGAGAAAACAGGGTGTGTCCGAAATGCTGATGTTCAGGTTGGGACCACTGAGGACGGATTTGATCTGTGGCTTGATATGGCTGGAAAACAGGACCGCGGAGACAGGAAAGGAGCCTGCTGAAATCGGGCCTTGCTCCAGATACAGTGGGATTATCACCAGCAGGGAAGAAGCCACAGGAGTGAGCATTATGCAACACTATGGAATAAAGCAAGATGTTCGTATGGAAAGGAAGCTAGAGCATTTCAGGGACCCAGCCAGCAGACACTGAGGCCACTTAGAGAAAGAAATGCTGCAGCCCATCGGAAGATGAAGGGAAAGCAAAGGAAAGATGGCTGGAAAGCATCACAGGTTATGTCAATGCTAACGGTGCAGAGGCAGGGAGTGACATGAAGAGGGAGCTCATCGGGAAACCGTACCACAGCACTTGCTGATATTGATGGTGAATTTTATGGATCAAATGTTCCAAAGTGACTGTGCAATAAATAAGAAACTAGGAAGCATGGAAGGATTGGCAATAAGGGAAGGAGAAATGGATGCATTATAAATCCAAAGAGAGGAATTCAGTAATTAGAGGCAATCCCTGTTTCTCGTTGCGTAAGTCGCACTCTAGGGAGCCAGCCATGAATAAAACACAGGATGCAGAAATGTAGTTTGTGAACATCTCTCACGCTTCAGCTTCATGCCTTAGCTTACGAGAATTTATAATTGGAAACATCTCTGAGCATCAGGAGGAAAATGAAGAGAGTAATGGAGATGGAAAAGACAACTCATATTTATTGGAGACGCTTGCAAAGAATGTAATACATATTTATAAATCACGTAGATTAGGGATGCAAGAGACACCTTAGGTCATCTAATACAATGGTTCTCAACTTTTCTGGGCCCAGGACCCATTTGTAAATGTTTATGGCCAGCTGCAACCCAGTAAACAGCCTGGGGGTGGAGGCCCTGGGGTGGCTTCGGTCAGCGTCTACCCTCCCCACCTCGCCCCGGAGGGGGGTGGGCCCTGCTCAGCACTCACCCCACAGTGGCGGCTCCTGCAGTTCCTGTGCTGTGGGGCTGGCTGGCTGGACTTGGCTCTCCGCTCCAGGCGTTGCAACCTCCGGGGTTGCAGCTCTGCTCAGGTTTGGCCCCGCCCCTGACTGGACCAAATTTGTGAGAGTGCAGTTGTGACCTGGCCCCGAGGGTTGCAGTACCACTCACTCAAATTTGGCCTGCCCAGACTCCCGTCTTGATGATGGCTGAGCCAGACCTGACTGGCGCTGGGACCCCAGAGGTTGCAGGGTGCAGGGAGGTGAGCCCATCAGCCAGCCCCATGGGACAGGAGTCACAGGAACTGCCACACAACCCTTTGAAACATGCTGGTGACCCAATTTTGGGTCCCGATCCGCAGGTTGAGAAACCCTGATCTAGTGCGTGTCTCGGACAGTGCAGGTTTGGTTGGTCTCTATTGAGCAGCCACAAGTGGTTTGTCCTCAACCAATCTAATTTTAAATAACTCCAGGAACAACGCCTCAGCGGGCTGTTCTGTAGCATAACTGACATTTTACGCTCCCGACCCTGCCCGTTTACAATGACAGTTGATGTCATTGGCGGAAAGGCCAGCTGTGCCTCAGAAGGACGCTTGTTTGCCATGTTGTTGTAGATGTGTCAGTCCCAGCATATTAGAGAGATGAGGTGGGTGAGGCAATGTCGTTCATCCGACCAACTCCTGCTGGTGAGAGAAACAAGCTTTCGAGCTACCCAGAGCTCCTCTTTGGGTGACAGACATTACCTCACCCACCTGGTCTCTTTAGAAGGACACTGTGAGGTAAGGAAAAGGAGGACTTGTGGCACCTTAGAGACTAACCAATTTATTTGAGCATAAGCTTTCGTGAGCTACAGCTCACTTCATTGGATGCATGGGATGCATGTAAGGGAGGCCCAAAGAAAGAAAACCCACTTTACCTGGTCCTAAGAGGAGCCGCCACTGCAGAGGGGGAGTCTTTGGTGGCGGGGAGTCTCCATAGGAGCTCCTCCTCCACCCCTACCCCAATTGCTGGCAGAGGAAGCATGGCTAGAGAAAGGGGGCATGGATGGGATTTCCCTGCACCCCATGTAATCCTAGAGGTTGCAACAGTCTCTTGTGGGCAGGTGGCCCAGATGAACACAGCCTTCAAGCTGCTGGGATTCACATCAGGGGATGGCCCAAGAATTGGGGGGGCACAAGATTGCATACAGCCACTATTTCCCACCACTCTCCTGCGTGCACTTGCACAGAGAATCCAGAGCATGGGGTGTTATCGGATGTTTTGTTTTATAAATGTCACTATTCA